CAGGGCAACAGCGGCCGGTTTTCTTCAATGAAAGTGGCTGAGTGCTCACATCCAGTGCCTATGCAAACAGCTGACACTAGGGAGCAGAGTCGTGGGATTATCAGTTATCTCGGAATGTAAACAATGTACACAAGATCGCAAGGGGAGGTAGGAATGGAAGGTTCCTAGTCTTAAAGGTCTCCTCCTCCCAGGCTCAATGGCTCCACCCTTGGTAACCATTATTACCTCCGTTCTCAGTTGTTATTACCCTCTCCCCCATACCTGAATAAGTCGAGCTGCGCTAACATTTCGGCAGCCTTCTTCAGGAGGTCTAGTCCCTTGAACACCTTATCTTGGATCATCCGGGAACCGGTGGGTTCAGTCGCTACTTCCACTTCTTCCAGAAGCTGCTTGCTGGTTTCGAACAGCTCGGGCAGCCGTGGCAGCAGTAACTCGTCTTCAGCTGCTGCCATCATGGGGGAGGGAGGAACCCGGAAGACCTCACTTCCGGGGGCAAAGGCAACTTTGGGAAAGAAGAACTCGGCGAGAACAAACGAAACCGGAAGGGGCGCCGCATTGGTCCAGTTGCTCCATTGTTACCAAAACGTCAAAGAACTTCCGGAAGCAGCAGTTGGCCGCCCGGGCAACTGTTTCCATAGACTCATTTTACCAGGCTGCCTCTTACAAGCGGTGGGCATCTGTGAAAAACAAACACACAAGCAAAACCCGAGACGCTATTTCCCGGTTTGCTCCTCGTGGCCGACACCGGGTTGGGAAGTTCCGTGGGCTCTGAGCCGGGGACACGAGCTGCATTCAGAGCGAGGGCGGGCGCGCTTCGGGAGGCGGCAGGCGCCAACTTACCTCGGGAGGAGCGCCCTGGGTGGGGGGCCGGGGCCGCCGCGGGCTCCAGCCGCCGCGCCGCGCTGCTCCCTCGCTCCGCAGCTCCGGGCGCGCCAGCGCGAAGTGCCAGTAGCGCCCCCCTCCGGCTTCCGTCCCCCCACCAGCTACAGCTCCGGGCTCCTCCCAGCCAATCCTCGCCCGCCCTCTGCCCCCCGACGTCGCCCGTCCTACACACCCCCCCCGCACGTCCTCTCGGCCTGCGGCCCTGTATAACCCCTAACCCGGTAACCTGCAACTCCAGTCACCCCACCCCACAGCTGGCTTCCTTTCAAAAGTTACTTCCTCTGTGACCCCTTCTTTGACCCCCTCTGCCCCCGCCAAGTTGCAGAAAATTTTCATTTTCTGTGTATCTCTATCAGAGCATCTACTACATTGTATTACAGCTAGTGATTTACAAATCTAATTCCCTTACCAGAATGCGTCTGACTAATTTTTGCACCTCTCTGGCTAGCCCAGTGCCTGGCACTTATTAAGTGCTCAGTGTCATCAAATGAACAGAAAAATAAGTGATGGGTTTGGAAAGCAGCCCAATTATGCAGAACTGCGCTGTTCAATATGGTAGCCACTAGCCACACGGGGCTATTGAACACTTGAATGTGGCTATTTTGAACCGAGATGTGCTATAAATGTAAAATACACACCGGATTTCGAAAACTTACTATGAAAAAAGATATAAAATATCTCAATTTTACACAGACTACATGTTGAGATGCTACTATTTTGTATATGTTGGGTTAAATATATTATTAAAATTAACTTCACATGTTTTTTCACTTTTTTACTGTGCCTCCTAGAAAACTTAAAATTACATATTGGACTCACATTTGTGGCTCATATTATATTTCTGCTGGACAACGCTGATGTAAAAATATAATTCCAGGACTTTGAAAGAAGGGACATTATTGTTTGGAACAAATCAATGTAAATATATACTTATTATCTTAGGACACACCCCAAGTTGTCCTAGGGGATTTAAGTGAAGTAAAATGCACACTGCCTGTCCTGGAAAATAAGCTTTTAAACTAAATATATTTTAAACTAACTATAGTGGAGAAGAAAAAAATTTTCATGTAAGAACAACTAGAGGGCAATATAGGACAGTATATAATCAGGGGATATGTTGTATTGCACAGGCTGTTGGAAAACCAAGAAATAACAAGTCATTCTATGCTAGGAGTAGTTCAAAAAGCTTAGACAGGGCCGGCCCCGTGGCTCAGCGGTTAAGTGCGCGCGCTCCACTGCTGGCGGCCCGGGTTCGGATCCCGGGCGTGCACCGACGCACCGCTTTCTCTGGCCATGCTGAGGCCGCGTCCCACATACAGCAACTAGAAGGATGTGCAGCTATGACATACAACTATCTACTGGGGCTTTGGGGGGGGGAAATTAAAAAAAAAAGCTTAGACATGCTATGCAGTCATAGTATTTCAAAGCTGGAAGGGCACCTCAAAAATCAGAAGAAAAAAGCTGAGACTAGAAAGGTTAAGTGACTTGCTCAACCAGTTGTGACAAAGCCAGTGTCTTCTAAGTTCAGTTGTTTTTACTCCATCAATCTTAAATCGTAGGATTTAAAAAGATGGGGAGGACCTTTTATGTAGCACAGAAGGAAGCCCCAAGCTAAAACAGTGCTTTACAAGAGGGAGAGGAGAGTGGGGCATAAGTGTAGGTTGCAAAAGCTTCCCAAGTTATTCTAATAAACCTCCCCTTGCAATGGCCACCTCCCCCTTAGAAGCTGAGGAAGAAAGGAGGCTATGGCGGAATTACCTATTTGATTTGTCTGGCACCTTTAATGACTCTAGTAAACTGAACTTTCAGGGTCAGCCTTGGCCAGGAATCCAAAGAGAGAGTACCTGTGGAGGAGACTTGGAAATTCAGTAATTGTTAGACTAAAGAAAATTTGTTCCTGTGCATTTGCTTGGATTAAGACATAGCTTTACTGTTGCCTAGGAGAAAAAAAAATATGCAGCATTTGAATTTGGTCCTGACCTTTGTAAGCCATTTTTCTATGGCTTTCAAAATGACAGTCTTTATGGGAGTTGCCAATTACTTTCAGAGTGCATATTATATATTTGAGTTGTCATTTTAAGTATTGCATTCCGTCTTATTTTGAGACGATACAAAGATTAAAAAGTGGTTAGAAAAAAGCAATAATAAAAACGAGTTGTTTATTGTATTTCAGTGCATAAACACTTTATCACATTAAATCCCTGTTGTGTATGGGCAATTTTTAAAAATTCCTAGTTTAGGGGAATTAGAAGGGCCCTTAGAAATCAAGTAAGTATTGTGGGAGATCAAGATTTGGCCACCCTGAAATATATCTCTTTACCTTGATTGTTTTCTCTGACGGACATTTGACCTCCCCCACTAACTGCCTAAAGAATTTGATAGAAGATCTGTTCCAGGAAGGAGCTACTATCTGATGGCTGTAATATAATGTAAAATAGATGTTACAATAGGAAAGGCGCCAACAAGCCCATCTTATCAAAAATTCTGTCTCTCTGGCCACATTCTCTAGATGGCCCCGCAAGGAGTTGCCAGACAAACATTTACATTTACAAGGGAAATCTCCATTTGTAAAGGTATCTCCCTCTCTGTATTGGGAGAGGGGGGATGACCTCATTTCTAGAAACTTATCAATGTGGAAGGTGAGGCCTTAAATCTGCATAATAACCTTACTCTTGTTTACTATGCTTTAGTGGTAATCTCCTGTAACTGACTCCCCCAACCCCCAACATCCTTCTTTGTCTTTAGCTGAAGATGGTATTTAAGGTGGTGACCTCAGCCATTCTGGTGAGTTACTCAGCTTTCCTGAGTTTCTCCTATGTATATGTGTTATAAAGTTTTGTTTGATTTTCTCCTGTTATTCTGTCTCATGTCAATTTAATTCTTAGGCCAGCCAAAAGGACCTGGAGGGTAGAGGAATTCTCTTCTTCCTCTACAGTAGAAAGCATTTGAAGTGATCTATGCATGACTGTCGAAATGAGACGACCTTTCAGGTGTTTCCCCATGTGACTCCCTAAGAGAGATGATGGATGTTCATTTGTCATGTTTGGACCTTAACACAGATTTGTTACCTTGGATAACAAATCGTGTGGTTCATGAGAGAAATGTTACAGTAGACCTTCTCTGGCCTGTCTGAATTGATGTGCTTGGCAGTTTATACCTTCTTTGATCCGCTTTAGAGGGGCCAATGCTGTTTTGTCTTGAGTAATATTCTACTGATATTTGTCCCTCTAACGCCAGCCACAGCACTAGAATGAGACCAAACTGTGTGCAGTGTAAAGCCAAGAGCAGGCTGTAACTTGCCAAAAATTATTTATGGAATAAATCAGCTGAGCATTCAAACTGTCTTTACCAAGTATTTTTGAGATTTGAATTTGCCTGACTAGTGGCAAGAAGTTCATTACGCCATGAAAGGAAGAACTCCAATACAATGAAGATTGCATTAAATGAAAGATTTCAATTCCCACTTCTATATTGAACTCTGAGGAATGTGGTACAGCACTTAAAAGTACTCTGGAGACCCAGATTTGTGTCTTACCTCTGCTACTGAGTAGCTTTGTGACCTTGCAGAAGTCCTTTCCTTCCCTCTTTCCACATTCGTAGTGTGCTACCTGAATGCTAGGCTCTGGGAATTCAAAGAAGAACAAGATACAGGGTTTGAGCCCTTAATGGGCTGGTAGTTCAATGGAAGAGACAGGTAAACAAATAATCAAACAGTAATTCGGTAAGAATGGCGGGAATAACTTTGGCCCTGAGGGTGGCATTCTATTAAAGGTCAAACTCCATACCTGACTTATAAGATCCTTTCTGATCTGATGCTGACATCCTTTTCATTCTGTTCCTCCATGGATCCTAAGCTCAACCTCTAGCAAACTCTCCTAATTCTCCAAACCTATCATGTTCTCTTAGACCTTCATGCATTTACATGGGTTGGGGCTTCTGCCTGGAATGTCCTCTCCCTTGTCTGCCTGGCAAATTTCTATTCATTACTTATGACTTAGCTGAAGGATCACTTCCTCCAGGAAGCATTTCCTGATCTTTTGCCTGCGGGTGAAGTGCCCTCCTCTTAGCTCTTACAGCACTTTATTAATCTCCCTATGATAGTACTGGAGTATGCTTTTCTTTATCTTCAGCTATCTCTCACTAGACTGAGAGCTCTTTGAGGACAGGGAGTGTCTTACTGTCTTTGTTTACCTCAGCACCGCACCTGACACCTGTTAGGTAGGGATTCAATGTTGAATGAATAATGTTGCATAATAATAATAAGACCTAAGCTTCTCTGAGTGCTCACTTTCTGCCGGGTGACTATGCTAAATACATACATTTTCTCAATCCTCATAACTGCCATAAGAAATAGGTGTTGTTATACCCTCCTTTTTCAGATAAGGAAATTGTGGCTCAGAGAGGTTACAATAGTGTTAATTTTAATCCCTTATACTGGGATTTGAACCCAACACCATTGAATCCAGATCCAATTCCAGAGTCCATGCTCTTAACCACTATACTATACTACAAAAGAGGGGGAAATTACAGACCTGGTGAAAAACAAAAAAGGAAATGAACATGTAACAGATTTGTGCTAAAAAGTAAAAGGAAGTAAGATTGAATCAGTAGGCTGGCTCACATGATGGAAGATGTACACTCAGCCCGAAGAGTGTAGACTTGATGTGCTATAAGCAATAGGGAGGTATTTGGTTAAGTTAAATATTTATTGAGGACCTATTATGTGCCAGCTACTGTGCTAGCTGCTGGGATATAAATAGGCAGAGTCTTTGCTCCCGAGGCTCTACCAGCTAGGTGAGGGAG